AAAGAGTTTTTAGCAGACTGAGAAAATCAATTATGTACAAAAATAATGATTGTACTGCCCAAACAAGCAAATACATTAAGAGAGATAACAATACATAATATTAAAGTTTAAAGTTAATTCTAATCTCTGGAATGACTAAGAGAAACTTCATAAAGAAGGTACCAGTACGATGAAGTCATTAAAAATATATGAGTATATGAAAACATAATCAAAATAATAATTTTTTTCAGGCAGGGCATGGAATCTACAAAGAGCAAAGACAGAGTAAAGAGAAATCTCAGGAAATGATTGGGTAATAGAAAGAAGTTTTTTATTGAAATAAAGTTTTTTTGTATGGATGTATAGTAAAAGACAGGTAGAAAGTTATATTGGAGTTTCCCAGATTGCTAAACTTGAATACGAGTTTATTCAGTAGGAAATAGCAAGCCATTAAAGATTTTCGAAGTGGAAAACATGTAATTGAATCCATTCATTTATAATATAATTTTGACATTACAAATTGAAGTAAAATGGAGAGACACGGGACTAGAAATAAGGAGAGCACTTAGGAGCGGGCTCTTGGGAATGGTTCTGTACATTCAAGCTGCTGCTGGCAGAGGCTGAATGCTACAGAGGCAGGAGGGAATGAATCAGCTAACTTTTGGTTATTGAGCAAGTTTGCAAAGGTGACCATCAAGTGACTTAGCAGGACTGACCCTCAGAATAACCATGTCATTTCTAAAAATGGCAAATGCAGGGAAAACAGGTTTCTGTAAGATAAATAGGAATGGTGACCATTTCAGACATGTTTAACTAAATGTGCTATGTGAATGCATCAAGCTTGTAATTTGCATGAGGAACTCTGGGGTTGATCCTGGGGTAATGGGCATAATCGTGAGTGAGAGGGATTATGGAGCACTTACCCGACTCAAAGACCCCCTTTTCCATTCTTATTACGGACACACGAATTTTATAACTTTTAAAACATATCAGCTAGCTCAGAAAATTAAAAAAAAAAGTCTCAGGTTTCATCAATGCAAATGTAGTAATCATGTACATTGATACCACAGAAGCATATGGGGGTATCTGTCCAAGAAAGAGTACCTAGTGGTGAATGTCTACATGGGAAAAATTAGATGTTCTGCAAAGGTACGAATTTGGAACTATTTCTTGGAATCTGGCAGCACCACCTTTCCAACACAAAGTCATTGGAACCCATGCCAGCTATTTTTATGGGTTGTGGATTTATGACACATAAGAATTACGGAAACCCAAATTGAGAAATTAGGATTGAAATTTGTTCAAAAACTGATAAATTCCATAGGTTAAGGGCAGAAAGCAATCGGATTCCTTCGATAGGATTATTTAAATAACTCAAGATGCTCAAAGAATTCCTACAGAAACTAAAATTACCATGAAAAGGCACTCACAATAATAACTATAAAGCACATGAGAAAATAAACTAACATAAGACAAATGAAACAAACACAAGAGACAACAGAAAGAAATTTTAGCAGAATAGAGGGCAACAGAACAATCTGAAAAGAGATTGCAAGTTAACCACATAAAATGTTTATAGAGGCAAAGGAAGAGTGTTCAGAACAGATCTTTACAGAACATAAAATTAGTATTTAATGAAACATTATCATAAATGGAAATATATTCATTAAAATACTAAAATGAATGAATTAATTGAACAGTAGATTATATGTGGCTTAGCTTACAATTAAGATTTGAGAAAATTTTAAGAATGAATCCCAGAAAATAAATTGACAGAAATTGTAAAAGTGAGGTTAGTAGAAAATGCCTAGAGGAATTTCCATATGGAGAAATCAGAGAAAATAGATATGAGAAATATGTTCAAAAGGTAGTACCTTGAGAATTTTCTAGAAATTAGGAAAAGCATTAATGTTAATATTGAATAAGTACAGCAAATCCTGAGATAGCTAATAGTAAAATGCAGGCAAGATAGAAACAGATAATCTTAAAGACAGTAGAGAAAAATAGATTACCATAAAGTTAGCTTGATAGAAAAATTCTTATTTTATATTTTATAAAATTCTTATCAGCAATAACTGAGACCAGATACAGTAAAATAATATATTCAAAGTGCCAAGATACTGTCGACATAGAATTCTATACCTAGTCAAACTATTGTTCAAGAACGAAAATGAAATAAAACTGTTTGCTGACAAAACAGTCTACATCTACCATTCAGACTCTTGCTGAAAGAATTACCATTCAGTTAAGTAAAAAACATTGAACCAGAATTAAGGGATAAGATGAAAAACAAAATAAATGGACCAACTGGAGTTTGCAGCTTCAGAAAAGTAGAAATTACTTGGAAGAGGTCTGGGTAAAATTTAACCACCAGGCAATCAAAGTTGAACAAAAATGTTACGGGACAGTAGTGAGGAAATTCCTGAGATTAGTTAGATACTGTCAGATCAATGTAATATAACTTTTTACACAGGGAATCATTAGGGCAATCCAGGTGAGGCAGTATTGCTAAGAGTTGAATGATTTTTTCAATGTTGGCAGTATAATAGAACTTGAAAAAGTTATAAAAAACAAGATATTCGTGGTTGGATTTCATTCCCTAGGTTTCTGGTTTAATTGTTTTGGAACATATCCTAAGCATCAGTGTTTGTCTTTTTTAAAGCACTGAGGTGATTCTGTGCAGCAAAGGTTGAGAACCATTGTAATAGATTGTTAGAGAAGAGCAGAAGTCCAGAAGCTGACTTTGGCCACTTGTCAAAGAAGATAATTCAGTTTATATTCATGATGGTGGAGGCCTTTTCACACTCAAGAAAAGTGGCTGAACTTTTTTAGAAAGGGTTGGCAAGCTTACTGTAAAGGTCCAGACAATAACATTTTAGGTGTTGTGGGTCAGATGATTTCTGTTGCAACTACTCAACTCTTGCTGTAGGGTAAAAGCAGCCATAGATAAGTATGCAAACAGATGGGCATGGCTGTATTCTAATACAATTTTATTTATAAAAGAGTGATAGGCGGGATTTGGCCTCTGGGCCTTACTGTACCAACTTCTGCTTCAGAATGTTAAAGTATACAGTTAAGGAAACATAGCTGAGAACCATGAAATTAGCTATGAAGAAAGTCGCCCCATGTGTGACAATATCAAAGCAATGTTCCCTCACAAGATAGGGAAGAGCACGTGAACATGAAATGCAACAGAGTGTGAAGATCTCAGAAACACAGGCACAGAAATGTCCTGGAGGGAAAACTTTGAAAACAAAATTGCTCACATAGAGGGTTAAGGTTCTGCCAATGAAGTGGTAGCTGTGGACAAATAATAATTGGAAAATGCAGGAGACATTTGTTTTGTTTTGGATTTGTGTTTATTTTGTTTTTTACATTTAGAAGGAGAACGTGTAAATGAATAGGTTGGATTTTCTATTTATTCACATGTAGATGTTTTGGGTTTAAAAATCAATGTATTTATATTTTAGCATGTTATTATAATCATTACATTTGTATTAAGACTTTTCCTCCTTTTCCATCCTTAGCCACCTTCTCCAGTGTTATGTTCATATAAGGACATTTTATTTTCACACATCTTGATTAAGGGTACAGATTACCTAAAGCATAGACTTAGATTATGGTGATTGGAATAGCAGAAGGATGAGCTTCCTATCCAGCTTAACTTTCAAATTTTACTTGAATTTGTCCTTCTTTAACCTTTCCTATCCCTCTCATAACTGCTTGAGTGGCTTATATAACTACTTATTCAATACTAAAACATACTGTCAATTGACAGTTTAGCAGTCCCATAATTTCTGTAATCTGATTTGGTTACATCTTAGACTCAGTGGCTATGTACTGAATCATTGAATATGTTTTTATTTTTCTACTCCAAAAACTGTTAGGAAATTTATAGTGCATCTTCGATCAATAACCTATTAGAGTTAAGGAAATATATTATCTTGTGTTTTTGCCTTTAGTTTTTCTCTGTCATCTACTTCCAGCGCCTCTATAGAGTTTATTTCTGAGAAACAAATCTGATTTTGCCACTACCTTACCTAATAATTTTCACTGCCTAAAGTGATTTTGAGTGATCTCAAAGTCCAGACTCCTTTGAATGGTATTCAAAGGTTTTGCTTTCTAAAGCCTTTTATATTGTGGTCCCAGATACTCGATCTCCAGCCTCATTTCCCACCACCCCTCTCCTTTTTATGCAGCTTGCTTCATTCACTCCTAAATATGAGACTCATTATGCATTATTTTAATATAAGAATTGTAAACATCTCTGAAGTAAGTTTAATAAAACGGGGTCAATGTTGAGCTGAAAATAGCTAAAGAAGACTTTTCCTGAAGCTTAATTATTCAAGATTGAAATGGATCTTTGTCTTTGCAGGAAAGTCTTGATTTTTTATATTAGAATGAGTTACCAAAGAAACTTAGAGAATACCTTTTTCTGAGCCTTCTGTACACGCTAGTCACTCTTCTGTTTGGAATGATTTAGGTAAACGAGAGAGAGAGAGAGAGAGAGAGAGAAACTCTGAGGCTATGCCCAGTTCTTAGACTTTTAGATGATTAATGACTGTATCTAAATAAGGCCAAAATATCCAGATGGGAGTAAAGAGAAAAGTTCAGTTAGTCTTCTACATGATCTCCCTCTATGTTTCTAAAGACCCGGATATTTAACAGTTGAGTGTATGTAATTGTTTAAATAAAACCATGTATTTCACCACTATTTTCTGCTTTGACTGTTAATATGTTGCTATAGTATGAGTAACTTCACCAGATAATCACTTATAATTTTTCTCCATCTGCCATCAAAAACGTGTATCAAATTGTAATTATTATAGAAAGATAAAAATGTGAGTTGATTGAAAATGCCCTAAACTTTATTTGGTTTGGTCTAAGGAGAAAATAATAATGAAGTAATAGTGCAAAATAAATTTTCTTGATTGCAGTTTTGGCGCTAATTCTTAATTTTTATAAAATGGAAATGGCTTATTTACCACATGCATATTTATAAGGCTCTACTTTTAATTTAGGTATGTGTCTTGTGCCCTGGGCTGTCCATATGAAGGAAGCATTACACCACAGAAAGTGACAGAAGTAAGCTACATCTCCAGCTTTTGTGGTTTATGGTAACATGATATATATTATTTTTAAAAGTGGGCGATTGCTTTTACTGTTTATTGGATCTGCATAGCATGAACCCAGAGATTAAGATAGGAGCCCTGAAGATATGGTTGATCACTTAACTAACAGTTTCATTTTAACACTGAAGTCCTGTATATTGACTATAACTTTTCAAAGTTAAGGGACAGTTGAATCCTATAATTTGGCTGCTCAAAGGTGGAAGGAATAAAAATATGTTTTGTTTTTCTATGGCTGTAATGTAGTGAGTGGGTTTTCCAATCTCCATCAGAACATCCCAGCAGTGTGTTTAGAAACAGTTAAACTTGCCTCAGTTGCTTAGGTAGCATTCCTCTTTTTCTCCTGCCTATGTTGGCTCATTATATCGGAGTAGATACACTACTTCTGTGTTTTTGTTCTTTATGATTCTGTAGCTGTTACTGCTGTGATTAAGTTGCTGCTATTCCAGAACAATTTTACAGTAACAGATTATAGTCATTAAGGCCCTGATTATTAAAGTTTACTTTCTTCCTGTCCTTTATTATTAATTTATATCAATGAATGCATGTACTCTCTTTGAGATTATATTAGACTGCCTCAGAAATTTATCTGTATATAAAGTATATTAATATACACCTGTCATTAAAGTTGTTAGTTATGACAAATTTAGTAATATGTCACCAAAGCAGTGAAGACTGCCTTATAAGAAAATCCAAATTTAGGCAGGATAAACTTTCAGTTTAGCTAGAGCCATTCTGCTTTTGGGCACTCATTTGTACTTACTGTGGATTTTTCAAATGAAAGATATCCTTTTATCTATTATTTACACAAGACCCTTGCACACAGAGGCACATATACTATGAAATAACAAAATTCAGCTTTTGTAGTTTTTTACTTGCATGGGACCTTTTTAAGGGTTTGTCGTTAATTTACCTTCACAATTTTATTTCTATTTAAAGAACACCTATTTCTATTTAAAGGGTATGACTTCAGGCTGGCCCACAAAACCTGGATCCATCTCTGCTTAGCGGCAGACTTGCTTTCTTCCTTTCACTGTGCACCACATAGGAATGAACCACACACCTTCACTGAGGATCTCTGTTTCTATACCCGAATGCCTAAGGTGTTACTGCAGTCATGTAACAGCTGGATAGGAAAAATTCAGGACCAGAAACCTTAAAGGGGCCTTTTGTGTCATCCTAATACATTTTGTGCTCAGCTAACTCTCCTCTCTCTGAAATTACTACTTCAAACTGTGATTACTCTGTCTAAGCCTCTGGTCCTCCCTCTCATTGCCTCCCTCCCCAGTTTTTGCTTTCTCATTATACTGTCCTTTGCATTTAGCTTTTTCCCTACCTGGAATGTTCTTTGCATTTTATATGTCAGCTGCCTGGAACCCACTAACATTTGCATTTAATATTCTTCCTGGAACATTCTTCTCAGATCCTTCCTTCTCAACCTCTTCAATAAGCCTGTAAGAACTTTATAATAAAGCTTACTTAAATTCAAGTTGTCACATAGGTCCTAATCTTGACAGATATAGATCAATTTCCTTTGCTCATGCTCTTAGAATCCTGTTTGTTAGTTTGAAAATTCTTATTTTAGCTAGCATTGATTTATTCCTCAGCAGGGTTGACTAAGATCTATCCTCACTTGACTTCAGGATCTGTAATAACATGAGCCATGTCAATATTCATTGCCTCATTCTATTCTGGGACCTAACACAGTGCCTGGCATAAAACAGGCATTGACAAAATACATATAAATGAACGAATGAATCAGTATCATGTGCCAGATTATGTATCAAATCACTTTTATACATTATTTCACTTTTAGAACCAAATATGTTATTATTAAATTACTTTTATCATTTTTTTTAAAACAAAGTAACCAAGGCTTAGAAAATACACTAAAAGAAGATGTTCTGTCATCTGTATTCTACAGATTAGGGATTGAGTGTTAAATAGACTAATCTTCTGCCCAGTGTCACATGAGTAGGATGACTGGGAGCTGAGATTTAAATTTAGGTCTCTCTGATTCCAGAACCCATGTCTTTGTCAAAATACCATGCTGCCTTTATGCAAATTCATATTGCTCTTTGAAAGTAACATTATTCAGCTTGAAGAGATCTTGCAATTACTTCACACAAGTATATGTACTTATAAGCCAGAAAAATTAGGCAAGAAATATTAAATGACTTTACCAGTTGCAAAGCTACTTAGTGAAAGAGCTGAACTTAATATAGTTGATCCTTGAATAATTTGGAGGTTAGGAACCTCAGACACCACATACATAGTCAAAAATCAAGGTACAATTTTGCTGCTGAAAACTTCACTACTAATAGCTTACCATTGAGTGAGAGCCTGTAACTCATCAATTAACACTTATTTTGTTTTTTGTTATCTTGAAATGGTGGGCAAATGCAGCCGGATACCTCACTCTATGGTGCATATGAAGCAATTCAGCTTTTTCTTATGTCATAACTTTTTTTCTGCTTCTTGGGAGCACGTCCAGTGTCACTAGTTGCACTTCCTATGAGTCTCCTGGTGTTATTTAAGGTTTATGGTATTGCACTGAATATAAAAAACACATAAGAACTGCAAGAGATCACTTTGTACTGTGATATGGAATTTACTGGAGAGATGAACTGTTCATACAGAGATGAGTAACATCAGCAGGATCTTAAGTGGATACCCTACTTGAGCTCACTGAAATAGCAATAGGAGGTGGCTACAAAATTATTACAGTAGTACAGTATGTACTTCAGTTAATTTTATGCAGTGATGATTTAATACTGAATCATTACATGTACATTCTCTTGAATGCAAAAGGCACGATCTACAGTCTGTGTCTGTATGCATGAGTTTTGATAAATTTTAACTTTTTATAATACATTTGTATTATTTTATAGTAGTAAATGGTAAAATAGAATAGTATTGACATGTATTTATGTATTCATGACATACTTTTTTCTTTTTTCGACATTTCTATGCTATGCAATTTGCCTGGAAGCATTTTCAAATTGTTGAAAATCTCCAAAAAAAATTTCATGTTTACTTTGAAAAATCCCTGTACAGGTACATCCACAGAGTTCAAATTTGTGTAGCTTAAGCGTCAGTTGTATATATACCTTTTGACACCTCAACTAATACCTTGAGAAATACAACTTCCAAAGTAAATCTGTAATGCTTTGGTTTGATTATAGTGTCAAGAAACATTAGCCTCCTACAATTGACATTGGACCTTATAATTTCACTGTGGAACAAATAGCTGGATAAAAAGATAGGTAGATGTGACTCTAAGGCAAACTTGAATATTAGAAAAAGAATTACAGTAGTGTCAAAGTCTTATATACTGTTTAGAATATAATTGGCAAAGAAAAGGACCAGAAAATACATTATATATTTTTCATGGACATAAATGATCTTAGCTGTAATTTTTACCTCTAGCTGATATTAGTTGAGGAACAAAAGTGTTTGAATCTCTTCACTTCCATTATTTTACTAGCACTTCACCTTTATCAACAGGTGTCTAAGAGATTGTACAGCATGGGTTGTTATGAGATCTCTCTAGGAGACACAATTGGAGTGGGAACTCCAGGAAGTATGAAAAGAATGTTGGAAAGTGTGATGAAAGAAATCCCACCAGGTGCTCTTGCTGTTCACTGTCATGACACATATGGACAAGCCTTAGCAAATATCCTTACGGCCCTTCAGGTATTTTGTATTCTTTGTGTGTTACATGTGTGCATAGGGTGTGCATCTTTATCTGCAGTATAAACATACTGAGAGATGTATTGTTACAATTTTTATAAAATGTTATGAGTCTCATTTTAGCCAGTGTCTGCACATGACAGGAACTGGGAAATATTAGTAAATTTCACATTTTTTAGGGCAATGGATATGTCTTATTACTGTTAATTTGATTTGATAAAATTCGTAATCTCTTCTTTTTAGAAGTATTAGTCTTAGCAGAGTTATGTCTGCTTGTTTTTCTTCTTATATTCTGTCAACCATAACATTAAATAGAGTGAAATACGATGGCATTTTTAGCAGTGTAAAACACAGAAATAGAATATTATAATCATAAAACTAATGCTCTTTTTTGAAGATTTCATGCTCTATGATGGGAAGATATGGGGCTGAACTATAGTGTATTTTGCTTAAAATGTTTTCCTGATGTTGGCAAGCTTACTTTTTGTAAAACTAGGTTTTTTAATCAAGTATATACCATTATATGATAAAATGAAGAGATCTAGAAAGTTGGAGGATTACAAATTGCTTATCACATTCTGTGTTATTTTAAATTTATTCTTTTGAAAGAATAGGCATAAGTAACATTAAAAGAGTGTTATTTTAAAATTAATGTCAGGTTCTTAAATGCAGCTAAAAATAGATTCATGTGAATTGTTAGAATTCAAGATTTTGACAGCCATATAGTCTACCAAGATAAGACTATATAAAAGCTTTCTGGTGAGTCTGAAAACCAATATATAAAGCTTAACATCACAGTCCTCAAGTCTACAGTTGTTTGGCAGAAGTTAAAAAACAATGGGAAGATCAAGTTCCACCAGGGCGTATTTTGACTTTGTAACATATGTGTACAAATCCTTATTTATCCTCTGGAAGCAAGAAAGGAACATTCTATTAAATCAGAGAAAAGATAAAATGTTATTCCATGGTCTATTATGTGTGGGAATTTTTACAATTTTCCTTCCCTAGGTATTCTAGTTTCTGAAACAATAGAAAACTAGGCAGCACTTCAGGATCCTGTGTTCAGCTGCAACTGTAACTTATTAAGTGTTTCTGAGGGGTTGTCTTTCTCTCTCTCATTTCTCTCTATGAATATATCTTCTATATTCTAACACACTTAGAGTGATCATTTATTTGTGTAGCATATTTATTATAGAATGATTGACAGTTTAGCTCTTTGGAATAAAGAGCTATAGTACAAAATCTGGGACCCCAAACTTCTGCTTCTGGACTATATCTGCCTCTTGAAAATGCCCAAGTAACAAAACATTGCTGATATCCCAATGCAATTTTAATGGTTAAGGAAGGTCTATTTGAAGAAGTAACTGTTGAAATCTTATCTAACAAATGAGAAGGAACTAACCCTAAATGGTTTGTATGGGTTGCGTGTGTGTGCACGTATGTGAAAACAAAAATGTTTTAAGCTGATGAAACATCTTTTGGGGAAAAGTCCTTGGGGAAGGAGAGGATTATGTCCTAGCAATTAAAAGAAGACTAATGTATTCGTTAAGGTTTATAAAATTTGCTAGATTGAGTGAATTGTATTGTCTTTATTTTCAGAGAGATTCAGACTGAAATTCTGGGCCATTTTTTTATCTGATTACAGTCACACAGGGGACAAGAAACAACCTTGGGCCTAAGTAAGATGAGGAACAAGAATGAGAACATGTGTAAGGCCAGCACTCCCCAAAATACCACATCCCAGTCAAAGGGTGAATCAGGAAAAGATTTACCCCATAAAGGGAGAGAGCAAGCATGTTCATGTACCATGGCCTCGGCCATGAGAGAAGGAGAAATATTATGTCTCTCTTTATACTACATAGCCTTTTGTAGACCCTTGTGTCACTTTAGGGTTCAAGTTCACATACCTGCAGAACTAAAAAGACCTAAGCAGATGAGTTATTTTCAAATGCTTATGGGTTCATAGCACTGCAGGTGCCAGAAGAACATATATACTCATATAAAATTTGTATTATTAATATATTGTTTATATAATATATGAAAATAATATATTTTATATATTTATATAAATATATATTGTAAGGAACACATCTTCAGCTTAAGCTGACCTATTTAAGATCTGTGTATGTGTGCGTGCATGTGTGTGTGTGTGTGTGTGTGTGTGTGTGTCTGTGTGTGTGTCGGGGAGAGATTTATACTATACCCTTTAGTAGCTCCTGTGATAGAATGTCTAAGTGTCAGGATATGTGTTTTCTGTTTTTCTTCCATGGGCACAAGCTCTACTGTGTACATGGGATGCTGGGGCAGAAGGGGCTTAGGAAAGCAATAGTATACTTTCAGTTCTGTATTACATTGCCCCAGAGCTTAATTTATAGTCACAGTGTAAATACATGGATAAGAGAGTAAAAGAAGCTTGCATAATAAGCAACATGATATGAGGCCAGAGAAGCTACTATAAATGATTGAGAACATGGTCAAAAAGCAGAGATGTGCTGAAGAAACTACAAGTTAAAGAGTTGTAGAGCTTTGTGTCTTTTCTACCATCAGCTGGCACAGAGTTTGGGAACACACTGACAACATAAAAAAGATACATCCGCAACTGCTCTCTTGAAACTGTAGGTAACTGAGACAGTGTTCAGATGTTTTGAAATTTTTATGTTTATGAAAGACAGCCACATGTGGTACTGGAATGTCATTGCAAACACACAGATGTACTGGTCCTGAGTGGCACTGAGAAAGGTTTTCACCAGTGCCCTTTTCTCACCCATCTTCCAACAACCACAACAAAGACACAAGCAGGCTTAACTGTAGAGGAGGAGAAGAAAATATATTAAGAAAACTGTCAGTGTTTGAATAGAAGGAGAATCAAAAAAAATCTAACTTCATTAAGAATAGGGCCAACCTTGGCTTTAGGAAGCAGAGGCCATACTTCATTTTTTAAAAATGGAATCTTTGAAGTGGCTTCTAGTAAGATTAGTGGTGAATATGGACTAGGTATCATTTCCTTTAATTTAGGTGTAGAGAAACAGTTTACAGTGCTTCGGACTAGAAGTTAATATTAAGGCAAGGAGACATGTAATAAGTGGAAACTTGGCCACAGTGATAGGAAACGAATGAAAGTTATAAATGGAACATCCCCCTCAGTCTGGAAAGCACACACTAATAGTGTAGTAGAAGGATCTTTCTTGGGTTCCTGGGTTTTATTGTGTTTTTTATTACTTAAATATATGATTTATGGGACTGGAGACGGTTGTATGAAATTCAAGGATAATTATCATATTATTTAATATGGAGAAATTATTCTGAGCATATCAAATCTAATGTGTGATATTTATAATCCCTCAAAACCCAAAGAACAAGAAAATGAGGTGACAAAAACGCATAGCATTTTAGTAACAGAGGAAACGAATGTGGCCCAATACACTTATCTTAATTTTTAATGTAAAAATTTAACTTCAACCTTCTACCAAGTAAAAGGCCGGTTAACAAATTATTTAACCTAATTAATTTCTCAGTCTCTATCTTTCTTCACTGAAATAAGGAAACACACGAGATCCAGTACGGAAACAACAGCCACACGTAGATTGGCAGCATAAAGACAACAGGCAGTATTTAAATTTCTTCTGAAGAAGCACCACATGTCCTTTTTTCTTTTAAAGTTAATACATTTTAATGTGCCTTTTCTCATAATGCTTTTCTTATGTTTGTTATTCTTTTAGAAAGACCAAATTATTTACCTAATTCTTTTTACATCAAAAGCTTTCCGTTTTTAGATTGAGTCTTAACAAACCATATTTAAATGCCACGAAATAACAAATCTTTCTTCACAGAGTTTATTTTTTAGTTTCTCAAGAAGAAGTTTTTAAAATTTCCATTACTAGTCAGATAAATGTCTTTGTTTCTCAGTTCCATATTTATAAGAATGGATGTAATGTACAAAACTGAAATGAGATGCAGTATTTCTAGAATGATGCCTTGGTAACAGTACACTTGGTTGGATTGTTGGATTTTTAAGTGTGTATAACCAAGGCTCCTGAGCCACAGAAGTCTGAATGAACAAAGTGCCTTTTTACCACTGACATAAGCAATCCAACCACTTGTAATAGATATAGGTATAGCTATACATATACATATAGATGGGGTGAGGTATTTCTTATTTTTGTCTGTTTTTGTTTTGTTTTGTTTAATACTGAAGGCAATGGACAGTCACTGGAGATTTTTAATTAAGGATCATTTGATCAATGCTTTGTGTTAGAGAACTTCCTCTAAATTTTATGTAGAGGATGGACTGGTATGAATCTGGCTACTGTAAAGATAAAAAGTTACAAAAGCTCTAAAAACTAGGAACTAAAGAGAACACTATTGCAATCGTGTTGCTCCTGGTAAAAAATGATGAGGGATACAATGTATGTGTGTGTGTGTGTGTGTGTGTGTGTGTGGTTGGGTTGTTTATATCAGTGGTAAAAAATGGGTAAACTTTCTAATAATTTCGTTCATCTCCAGTTTCATTTCTAATAAATGCTTTCGTTCATCTCCAACATCTTTTTATTAACATCTCTCTGATTTTGGCAATAGGTGATCACTTTAGTTTTTGTCTTTAGGAATAATATAACCTTCATCTATTTCTAGATATCCACAGGTATAATGGATAGCTGGAAAAAGCTGCTTCTGAGCTAGAGGAAATTTTAAACTGACATCCAGTTAATCAATATTTAAAAATAACACAAGAGTTCTCATTCTACTGTAATAAGCTAAAAATGAAAGTGGTTAATCTTCATGCAACAGACTATGCTTAGATCATAAACTTGAAGCTCACCAAGAGAGTAAAGCTCACTGAGAAAGAAACTAAACACGTCTAAATATGCCCTGCCACTCCCACAGCATTTCCTACAAGCTGATCAAAGGGTCAAGCAGTAGGAAAATCGATTGTCAAGTGCTTATTGAGTAAGAAAACTAAAAAAGAATGAAGACTGGATTCATCAGTAGAAGGGTTTTATGTTTGCTTGTTTGATTTTCTTTTTATTCTTATTTAACAGTTGTGTGGTTTTTATTGCTGTTGTTGTTGTTTTAAATCATTGTTTCCACACTTACATCAGCACCATTAATTTTCAGTTGGTTGATACTCTAGGATAAAAGAGTAGGCATAGGGAATAACATATATTGTGATCTCCATTCCCACAAGTCCCATCTCACTGGACCAAGGAAACTCTAACACATATTGGATAGTTAGAACATCTTTTGGGGGATCCAGAGGCTGAGAAGGTCATAGGCACAGTCCTGAAGTGCAGATATACACCGAGAAGTAGAGTAGAGGTTCATGAAACTGACAGATTACAGGATGGAGTATAGGACTGGAGCTGTTCACTTTCCATGAGGTCAGGTGTTGTGGTTTTCTGTTTCATTTTCCTGAAGCAGTGTCTTCCTAAGGGGTACTTTTAGTTTTTACTGACTTTTCTGTTAGCTACAGAATATAATATTGGGATAATTGCATTTCCTCACATGCAAAATAATTCTGTTACACTAGAAGATAAATCAAAGTATATGTTCATACCATTTTCATGAAATTTTCTTTGATTCAAAACAGAGTTAATCAAAATATTTTGTTTGCTTTTCTTGACAAATTTGATTACATTATTGTGATCATAGTAATTCCAAAAATGAAAGATGATGGATCTTTGTTTTTATCACTAATTGCACCTAGTATGACATAATTCTTAGGTTTCAGCTGTTATTTTATTTTCTTCAGACATAATAATTCAAGCTTAAAATCAGGACAACTCATTCTGGTTAAATTTTACCTTTTAAAAAGTAATCATTCTTAATTTTAAAATAATTTTTCCTTGCAGTTATCACCTTCGAGAAAAGAAAGCATTATCTGTTAATACTAATAGTTTCTTCTCAGTCTAATCTTTCTTCTTCTAGGGGCTTAAATTTATATTATGGTAAAGATTGAGGCCAGATAATGATACAATTCTTCCTTTGGTGTATTACCTTTTTAAGAACCTCTTACCTATTCTGTAAATGTCTCTTATTATTTTAATCTTGTTTTTAATATCTTGTTTTTAACCAAACACTTCTAGCATATTTCTTAACACATATGGCCTTAATTTGGAAATTTTGTTGTTATGCTATGGTGTTTGCATAAAACATATTAAGCTTTTTATTTTAAAATTTCTTTTCATGTTTCTTTTTTTCAATTCTTTTTCTCTCACTTGAAAGTTCATATTTACAAGGAAATTTTATGCATATACATTCTTGCCCCTGAATATAATGTAACACAGACTTTTTCCTTTGGAACACTGGTTTGAATTGGCCAGTATGGTACTGAACATAAACTACTATTCACATGACTGTTTTTTTTAGCTTAATGTAATATAACCAGTTAATGGTTATATGCCCAGCTGTTAAACACACTACCCCCAACACACACAATTGGAAGCACTGTTAACTCCAATAGCCCAAAATTTAGGAATCTCTTAGCTTTATCAGTTGAACAACTTTCTCATATATTGCCAAAATATTTCTAACTCTGGGTTTAAATGAAATGGAAGTAATATATATTGTTAGTCACACTGGCTCATTCTTATAAAATTACTGCTCAGTTTAGAATACCAGATTTATTTAATAGTGTCATTGAAGGTTGGGTTAAAGATTGAAAACCAATGTAATGGAGGATGTGGAGAATTTAATCATTTTAAGTCAAACAGTTGGAACTCTCATCTGGAACTGACAAAGTTTTATTTATTTATTTATAAATGACTCTTCAATAGAGAGCATAATGTACAATATAAATTATTTCTATCAATTGGAATCATTTAGAATTATTTTATGAATTATTTTAAAATACAAATTTAACCTAAAAAATGTTTGTTGACTATCTTCTGTGTAACAGTCTCTCTGCTGCTAGGTAAACTGGTTAATTTTTTTAAATCATGATGAAACATCACCTTTTCCTCAATAATTTTTTAATCTATCAAATAAAATATGAGAATCATGTCAAATTGCATAGGCAAGAAGTCAAGTTGTATTTATCCACATTCTAAATTTGTTATGCTGACTTAACTTTTAAAAACATCTGTATAAATATGATTAACTGTAAGAATCAGGTTATGGCTACCTACTTCTACTAAAGAATTTTCAGATTAAGTAATACAATTTTATAAAATTTGTGTCTTTTGCTGATGGAAACTTTAACAGATTTCAAGAAATGTTAAAATCACAGTACCCTGTGTCATCCAAGCCTGAAATAAAATTTTATTTTTGTCCATTGTATTGAAAAATGTTCTATTTTCCTTTACAGTTTGTTTACCTTGAGAGAGAGAGAGAGAGAGAGAGAGTGTGTGTGTGTGTGTGTGTGTGTGTGTGTGTGTGTGTATTTGTACTAATGTATGCATCTAATCTAATTCAGACAGTCAGGTGGCCTAGTATTGGGAAGGATACATACAAGAGTAAGCTCAAGGACTAGGCACAGTAGCTCACACCTGTAATCCCAGCACTTTGGGAGGCCGAGGTGGGTGGATCACTAGGTCAAAATATTGAGACCATCCTGGCCAACATGGTGAATCCTTGTCTTTACTAAAAATGCAAAAAAATAGTTGGGTATGGTGGTGCACACCTGTAGTCCCAGCTACTCGGGAGGCTGAGGCAAGAGAATCACTTGAACCCAGGAAGTGGAGGTTGTAGTGAACTGAGATCATGCTACTGCACTCCAGCCTGGTGACAGAGCCAGACTCTGTCTGAAAAAAAAAAAAAGCTCAGGTTACCAACCTTGGAGAGTTTCCAGTAGGAACAGAGACAAACTTTAAGTGTTATAGTAACCCAGGGGAGTTGCTCGGCAGGAAACATGGGGTGAAGTATTTCTTGTTTTTGTCTGTTTTTGTGCTTTGTTTAATACTGAAGGCAATAGACAGCCACTGGAGGTTTTTAATTAGGGATCATTTGATTAATTTTTTGTGTTAAAGAAATTAGTCTAAATTTTATGTAGAGGATGGACTGGTATGAATCTGGGTATTGTAAAGAAAAAAAAGTACAAAAATTCTGGAGAACAGAGACTAAAGAGAACACTATTGCAATCCTGTTGCTCCTGGTGAAAAATGATGAGGGGTACTATGGTCTGAATCTGTGTTTTCAAAATGTTTATGTTTAAACCTAATCACCAATGTGATGGTATTGAGAGGAGGGGCTTCTGGGAGGAGATCAGGACTGCCTTCATGAATAGAATTAGTTCCCTCATAAAAGAGGCCCAAAGGAATCTATTTGCCACTTCTTCCATGTGTGGACAGGGTAAGAGGAAAGAAGGTTCCAGGCATTATCTACAAAGCTAAACACAGCCCTCACCAGATACGAATTCTGCTGACACTTTCATCTTAGTCTTCCACTTTCTAGAACTGTGAGAAATAAATCTCTATTATTTATAAACCACCCTGCTTATGGCACTTCTTTATAGCAGCCCAAACAGACAAGGGGTAAGATAAGGTAGAGGAAACATATGAGAGAGGTTATTTCCACGCAGAAGCACTGAGACTAAGAATTGCTTGTTAGTGTATGTAAGGTGAGGATGGTAAAAGATAAGCATTAGGGAGAAGGACAGTGAATAATGACGCTAAGGGTACAGGTGGATGTCATTAAAATATCAATCTTTCCAAGGTAATGCCAGCTTTATAAGAACAGATGCAGAGACCTATTTGCTAATGATAATAATCCACATTTTGTGAGTTCATGTTCCACAGGGCCACAGATATGCTGCAGAGTTGCCCCCAAAAATATTGTGGGAATAATTTTTAGATGTATTCCAGGAGCCTCTTGGGCAAGTAGACTTCTGGAAGGCCTGCCTGGCAAATAAAATAGTGTGGACTATGAAACCTACACTTTACATCTACTACTTTGTTATTGATCAAAGCAGTTGTAATTGAGTTTATTGGCTTGTTTTCCAATAAATAAAAAGTTTATTTTTAAAATATTTAGAAAATATGGAAAATCACAAAAAGTAATTACTTGTAATTCTACCACACAGAGGAAACTAGTGTTAAATTATTAAAATAAGTATTAATATGTAAGTATTATATATATTTTCATAGACATATATATATACACACACACACACATACATGTTGTGCATGTGTGTCCATGTAGATAATAGTCATGAGGTCCATGTTTATTTTGCTTAATATATTATGATTAGCATTCTTGTTATGGAAACCTTTCCAGATATGATTTTTTTTTTTGAGACGGAGTTTCACTCTTGTTACACAGGCTGGAGTGCAATGGCGCAATCTTGGCTCACTGCAACCTCTGCCTCCTGGGTTCAAGCAATTCTCCTGCCTCAACCTCCTGAGTAGCTGGGACTACAGGCACACACCACCATGCCTAGCTAATTTTTTTGTATTTTTAGTAGAGATGGGGTTTTACCATGTTGACCAGGATGGTCTTGATCTCTTGACCTCATGATCCACCCACCTCGGCCTCCCAAAGTGCTGGGATTATAGGCGTGAGCCACCGCGCCCAGCCCCAGATACGATTTTTAAAACCAAAATAGCCTACCATTACATGTGTGTATGTTAAATGTGTATGTTAATTTAACTGATCTGACTCCTGATTGGGAGCAGTTATTTTAATATACGGAAAATGAACATTCTTATTTCTAATATTTTATTCATCATACTTTAGAATGGATTTTCAGGGAAAATGTATGATCATTAGAGGGATTTGATATATTATGTAAGTCAAGAGTTTTTAGAAAGGTTATTTCCAGCCTATACACTCACTGAGTTTATATAATATTGCTAAATTCAGCAAACCTCACTTACAATGATATTATAACGTAAAATGTGTACTAACTCGATTTACATTTGATATGCCATTTTAATTTCTGTTTGCATTTGTTTTGTGGGGCTGAACTGTTCTTTCCTACGGTTAATGATTATTTGTATTTTTTAATCAATTGTTGTTCTTGTTCTTTGTCTGCTCTTTGTATTGAAATGTTTTTTCTCATAAACGTTAAAAACTATTTATGTTAAGGTATTATTACTTAAGTATTAAGGTATCTATCTAACATGTATATATGGTAGAATTATTTTTCAAAGCTTGTTTTGTGTAATTCATATGTGCTTTACATTTATATTTATTAATTTAGGAAGATATTTTAAGAAACATATATCGAAGCATATTACTGTGTATGGGACTAATTCCTCTAACATATGTATATATATATATATATATATATATATACATATATAACATATATCTGGTAGCATACTACTACCAGATACTGTTCTAGGCACTTAAGCATGATAGAAAGCATTGTCATGTCTTCAAGTAGCTCATATTCTGGCAAGGGAGTACAGATGATAGAAACAGCCTCCCTCCCCTCCCCACCCCACACACCTACTATAGAAGTACAGTTTAGAGCATATTAATTGGTGATAAAAATTATACAAAAATTAAAGAGACCATGCAGTAATAAACAGAGGATGGGAAATTTGGAGGGGTGGTGAAGCAAGGCAGGTTACAGTATTAACTAGGTGGTCGAGAAGACAATTTTAAGAAAAGATGTAAGCAAAGAACTGGGATAGATAAGGGTATTACTTCACAACTGGGAACAGAACATTTCAGTCTAAGGGAATAGTTACAGTCAAGATTCTAACATGTGTTCAGCAAATACCAATGTGGCCAGTGTGGCTGGAGATAAATAAGGAGGAGAGGAAGAGAGGATTCTTGCAGGCTGTTGTAAATTCTTTGGCTTTTACTCTGAGTGAAATGTAAAAAAATTATAGGGTTTTGAGCAGTTCTAGCTTGCATTTCAAAAGGGTTATTCTGACTGCTCTGTTGAGACTACACTGTAAGGAGGGGGCAAAATAAGAATTAAAAGACAAGTTAGAAAGGATGTAATTTCAATAGTTCAGGAAACAAATAATGATGGTTTGCATAAATGTGGTAACTATAAGAGTGGTAAGCATATTCTAAATGTATTTTTTTTTTTTTTTTTTTTTTTTTTTTTTTTTTTGAGACGGAGTTTCGCTCTTGTTACCCAGGCTGGAGTGCAATGGCGCGATCTCGGTTCACCGCAACCTCTGCCTCCTGGGTTCAGGCAATTCTCCTGCCTCAGCCTCCCGAGTAGCTTGGATTACAGGCACGCGCCACCATGCCCAGCTAATTTTTGTATTTTTAGTAGAGACGGGGTTTCACCATGTTGACCAGGATGGTCTTGATCTCTTGACCTCGTGATCCACCCGCCTCAGCCTCCCAAAGTGCTGGTATTACAGGCGTGAGCCACCGCACCCGGCCTCTAAATGTATTTTTAAATTTGAATTTATTTCATGATGAATTAGATGTAGAGTAAGGATCACAAATACACTCAATTGTTCGCATGAGCAACTGGAAGGATGAAACTGCCATCAACCAAGACAGAAAATGCTGAGTGGACAATATTTGTGGGCAAAGATTAGAATTTCAGGTTGGGGCATGTTATATTTGAGAAATCTGCTAAACATCTAGATGGAGCTTTTGAGTAGGCAGTTGCATATATAAGAATTGGGAAGGGATATGAAGTCTTCACTGAGGACATAAGCGGCATATAGATCATATTTAAATCCAGCAGAGTGTAGAAGATGCTAAATGGGGCATCGAGACACTCCATCCTTAGGAGATCACAGCAGAGTAGCTGGAGGAGACTGAAAAATAGTGATATTTGAAGTGGGATAAACCTGAGAGTCTTGAGACCTAGAGTCTAAAAAAAGGGTTCCAAGAAGGAAGAGGTGTTAAATGCTATATATGGGTCAAGTTTAATGAGGATCAAGAATTGCCCATGTTGTCATCCCTTTATGCCTTCTGCTTTTGGAGTTATGCTTAGAAAGACCTTTAATACACCAAGAATGTGTACATGACTACCTATCTTTTCTTTAACTTCATTTCTTCCAATAAAATATGTAACCCAACTGGACTTTTTATTCAAGGTAAAAGATAAAAATCTATTTTTATATAAAGACATTTTTTTATTCGTTTATTACCAAACCCATTATTTCCCCACTAATCCAAAATGTTCATCCTTGACAAATACTATGTTTAAATTGAGTCTCTATCTGGAATTTCTATTCTGTGATAACAATAACTGATATTAATAATTTTTGGAATGTTCTACCTGAGTTATTCTATTTTATCCTCATGACAGTCCCATGAAATAGTTTTTATAACTTTATTTATTTTAAAAAATAACATAACTGTAGCTTAGGGAAGTTGTTCAATGTCTCCTACTTGAAAGATAGTAGAATC